CCGAGAGGTCATTTCCGGAGAAACAGCCCGACTGCCTACGCAGAAAAATAAAACGACTCCGTTAGATTGCCAAGTTTGTAAATGGCTAATTAGAAAAATATTTTAATGGTGCAGACATCAAACATACTCAGTTGCTAGTTAGCCATCAACAGAAAATTCTTGCCTATTGTGAATTACTCTATAGTGTGTTCTGTCAATCCCCTTATCCTCCATGTGGGTTTTTATTAAAGCTATTAGTATACAGTAATTTTTAATATTAAGGAAGTGCCTTTATTGTGAATGCAATACTTCATCCTTCAACAGCGGCCAAACAGTGTATCATCTTCCACACTTATTCTGGACCTCCACGCTGCAAAAGAAAAGCAGACAGCTAAATGTATTCCGCTGGGGAAAAAAAAAAAAAAAAAAAAAAAAAAAAAGGGGAGGGGAGCAAAAATTTTTTAAAAAAAAAAAAAAAAAAAAAGGGAAGTGGAGATCAAATCTTCTTTTGCACTGTTATAGACTAATAGAGGTCTAGTTTTAATTTCTGATTTACATTGATTTTTCACCTATGTGAGAACACATACAGTGTCAAGCATCTGCCACTAACAGCTCCACTTTCTTCAGGGGAGAATACAGGAAGATTAACACCTGCAACCTCCAATTGCAGCTGCTTCCACTGCTGCCCTGAGGAAACCTGATGCTTACTTGAGAGAGATCTGACAAACACCACAGTAGTGAAAACAAATTTTAGAATTATTTTCACTGCCTGAATTCCAAGTGCAAAATAAAAACAAAGCCAAGGCGAGCCATTACAACCCTTACAAGAAATCAGAAAGGTATTCAAGTAATTATTCTCAAAACAAAATTATTTTACAACTTACCTCACCGTTAGAACATTTATGCTAGATGCCAAGAAATGTATTAATATGGGAAATAACTACTTCTATTTTTAATTCAAATACCCTACCCACTGACACGCAGGAGATGGATTTCCTCTACTAACACGATTACACTGTAAGTGTCCTTATCATTTAACAAAGCTACACAGGTGTCTTGATTTCAAACTTACACCCATCTCACAAGTTCTTCAAATCTTATGCATTCCCCATTTTCAAGCATCAGTTTTTACAGATTAAACTGTTACAGAACAAAAGCAGGTTTTCCTTCCTTTCCATGTACGCTTTTTCATACTGTATTTGAAAACACTGTAGAAAATATTCATATCAAGGTTTATAAAATGTTTCCACTACTAGAAATATAAGAGCTAAGTTACTCATAAATGTAATATAAAAACTAGTTCAAGAAATGTTTTGGACTTCAACCAGCTGGTAACAGCCTGCTCTTGTGTATGAGCAGATGCCTGTGATCCTGTCCAGCAGGTTCAAATCATACTTTCAGCAGCTGTGGCAGAACAGCCAGCGACAGTGTTGAACACAGGCTCTGCCTATCACCAGCCATCTGCACGCTGGTTTTATGTATGTATCTCTCTACTCAGCAATACCACAAGCCACCAATTCCCAGCAGTTACAAATTAGTTAATACCTTCTATATTGAGAATTCGTAGCTTGGGTATTGTGCCTCAAAGGTATGAAGCCTGGGAGTGCACCCTTACCAAGGATTACAATGATTTGAACCTTTGAAGGCGCAGAAATCGGGTAAACGCTTGGAAAACACAGACAATACACAGCAGTAAAGGAATCTTACCTGAATGTATTCGATCTCTTCCTCTGACATAAGTTTCCTTCTGTATTTCTGAGGTAAGGTTCTTGCTAATTCAGAAGTGTCTGGTGTACCTTGTGCTCTACTAAGAAGTGAAACGTTCTGGAAGGCTGATGATCCGCCTCCTACAGACTCCTGTGCTGCTGGAGCATGGGGAGATGGCAGGCTTCCTTGTAGCGATTCCTGCACTGAAACCCAGAGCACAAAACCATTTACAGAGGCTTAACAAGACTGTAAAATTAATTAATGAGCAATCAGTAAAAGCTACCTGTTATTGACAATTTTCTTCACTGTAACAGTTAAAAGAATTAAGACACCCTACTTCTCACAATTGCTTTTATTATGAAATATAGCAAGAGCATAGCAAAAAGAATCTGACAACGAAAGAAATCATGTTTGAGTGGCAGAAATATGGATGTGAAAACATAAGGTAAATCAGAATATTTCCTAAAAAGCCTCACCAAGAGGCTGTAGTTACAGAAAAAAAACCATAAAGTATCATCTGTGTGTATGTATCCAATTATGTGGTAAGATAATGAAGGTAAATCACCAAGATCCATGGAGATTATGCCTTTTGTCCACTGCAGCTGTGAAGAGAAGTGAAAAAGAGGCAGAGGCTTACAGGAAGCAAAAAGCTCACAGCTGTCACACACTACAACAATGCCATGTCAGTGTCTGCTTCTAGCAGGGATAACACTCAGAGCTACCACCCAGGGGTGTTGTGCCGACCAAGGTCACAGCTAAAGCTTCTATACCACATGGAGGGCTGCAGAAAGTAAAGGACACACACGCAGGGAGGATAGGACAGGACAGTGGACCCTAAGCTGACCAGTGGGGTATTCCATCCCATATCTCTCATATTCAGTATAAAGTTGAGAGATCATGAGGGTCAAGCCCCTTCCTCTCTTTTGCTCCTTATTCCATGGCCAGCCTCTGAGGAGGACTCCATCTATTCTGCTTTTGATCCTGAGCTGTGAGTTCCTGAACTGAGTTCCGGAATCCAGCTCCTGTAACCCAGCTGCTGCTGAGTCCAGCCTGGGACTTTTCCCCAGGGCCAGCTCCCCAGCATCAGGGGTGACAGTGACCTATTGGCATAGGTGGTGGAGGTGGAGGGAAGTTGGGTTTGACACTGGTTTTGTATATATTTGTATTTTACTTTTCTAATCACTAAGTCTCTCTCCTTTATTCCCTTTTTCCTCCCCTTTGGGGGTGAATAGGGGTTAACAGAGAGTGTTTGTTACAGGTCTGCGGGCAGCCCTGACCCTAAACTGTGACAGACAGCCTTTCAAGAACCACGTCCCGAAAAGTTTAGTCTTCATCTGCAGAGCTCTGCTTGATTACATAGAAGCAGCAAGCAGCTACAGTGAAGCAATTACTACTACAGCATTCAAGCCAGATGAGGCAGATTCCAACTTGCTAATGAGATGACAGTACCCAGTTAAGGTAGAAAAGTAACATCCTTAAAAGATACAGTCACAAAAACCTGATGCAGCGATAAACAAGATAAACACATTTCCAAGCCTTTCAGAAAGCAAAGCTTTCACTGGCACGAGAGGTGGTGTGTTTAGCTGAATGCTGCAAAACACACAGAATTCTGACACGAAGTTAGTGAAGAAAATAGTTCTTGAACAGTTCACAGGTAAGTCAGAAATGGCACTTATGTGCACTGTAGGTACTTTGAGATGTTAGTGGATAAAATAAACTTAAAGCTCATTCGCAAATGTGATAAAGCTGTGGCAAATAACATGGTATGGTATCATTTCTAGAGAATAATGTAACAGAGCTTCTTAAGATGTCTCCTACATTAGTTTCAAGTGCTTTGTTGATTCAAAATGAACGTTAAAACAACATATCACTAATACAGCTTTGAGGTTTAAATGTAACAGTATTGTGAATCCTATAAAGATCAACATAAATACAAGTATAAAAAAAAAAGTCAAATTTTGCACTTAAATAAATTTCTCAGCATTAATTGGCAGCATAAGGAAATACTTCTTAAAACATACAGTGGGACACCTCCCCCATATATAATAATGGTTTTAAATACCACAGACATTGCACACTCCAACTAAGAACAGAGAAGGAAAATGCAACAATATTTCTGTAAATATTAACAACTATCTAAAGCTTCTTCAAACTGACTTGGGCACAATCATTTCAGGGAAATACTAGTATTTGGAAAGATGAGACTTTACATAAGAAGTAGAAAAACAACACTGGAAAAATTAGTGAATATGCCTTGACCAAGAAATAAAGACATGAGCGTATTAGGTGTATTCCCACAGCATTATAGTGTCTGAAAAGTCAAAGAGCTGCCTCCAACTAGACCAAATATATTTTGAAAACTCTGCTGAAAATCAGTTGAGTTGCACAGTTGAAACAGAAAAAATATGTATGCTGGTTCTTATGTAATAACACAAAGAAATGTGATGCAAGTTGTTTCTACAGATGAAAAACTTACTTTTAGGTCTGGGACTACTTTTTCTGTCTGGGAACTTAATTAACGGAGTATGTGGCTTGACTACCTAGAACAAGGCAAAGGAGAAGCAGAAACAAGGACAGTACAATATATTTCTAGACACACATTACCTTCACAGTAATAAAAGGAACATACAAGGTATTAAAAAACCAATTCTATTCTGTTGCTTCCTGCACCACCTCTCTGATACACTTAAAACTTACTGCAGTTCTATTTACCCCGGGAGAAATACCACCTTTGAAGGCACTCCTCCACCCTCATGTCTGGACCAGGAACAAGCGTCCTCTTCTTTTCCTCATGGGTGGGTGCATGTGGAGAGCGAGCTACCACAGTCACATAAATGCAACTATGGAGTTCCAGCACACGGCTGCGCTCTGCCCGTATGTATTTATTCGTCCGCTGTATGGGGCGGGCGAGGTCCATAAATAAAAAATTATAAAGCTTAGTAGTGGAAGCCACACATTCTATTCATGGAACACGTCTTTCGAAGAAGACTCCACGTCTCACCTTCACCTTGAAGATGCATGCCTTAGGAAGGAGCAGCCGGCTAGCGCCCTCCTCTCAAACACCACACAAAATGCGGGCTGCCCTGTAGTACCTTTTGGAGAACCTGACACCACCATTAAGCGGCCGACGACAGCGG